ACTTTGGGTTCTGCTACTTTGCCATGTAATTGTTGATGATTGGGTGTGAGTGGCTAGATTGTACATGTTGTTGTATTATTTGTTTTGTTATATATCGGCTATTAATCATTTTTCATATTAAAAAATTTTGACCTGTGATATACACACATGACAAATCTAGTAATTATATTAAGTTGTATAAGGTAATACAAAATATATAAATAACTATAATAATATTGCTATCTAATAAATATATATCTGATCTCTGATCTGTATACACCTATATATATACAGATATATATACACTTATTGTACTGGTGGTACAAAGCTTATAGCAAATTAAGACGCATATGAAAAAAGAATGAAATACGTTTGTTTAACTCGATTATAAGAGCATTATTCAAAATTTTTACAAACACCTTACATATAGCAAATAACGTTTTCGTATACAAGCACATATTTTTCTTTAGCTTTGTACTATCAAGCCTTAATTTTGTAGAATAGCCTCACTCATGTAGATAGCAAATACTAGTTTTTAGTTAATAAGATGATAGAAATTGATAGTATGTATAATTTGTAAGAATAAAATTTGATATGCACAAGAAAATCCAGAACACATTGTATATACAATACATTCTTCAATGGTGTCTACTTTGACTTAATTGGACTACTTTAAAGTATCTTCTAGAAAAATAAAAGTTCAGCATAGTAACAAACTAATTGATTTCATAGCCAATTAGATCAGAGTCTATGGTAAGTCTAGCAAATTCTTTGAATAGAGTTGGTAGTGTTATTTTATTTTTTTTTTTTTTGAGATCTGCTAATTTGTGAAATTAAATTATCCAATGCAAATTCAGAAAATCATGGATACCTGTCAACAATACAATAAAAAGTAAAAATAAGGTTCATTATAATGACATTCTTAAATATATATAAAGATAGCAAAAAATAGTTTTTTTGATTTAGATCGGGGGTATTTATAAGTATAATGCATAATAACATCTGGATCATAAACATCATTAATTTAAATCATTTTTTGCTACCCCATACATATATAAAGGGTTTGACTTTACACAATTTTTTTCTTTATTACACACTGTATTGATTTTTATCTTTGTCCTATAATGTGTCAAATATTGCTTTGCAACACTATTAATAGCCGAATTTAGAAACTATATAAACAATACAGTCAACGCCGAAGTCAATAATGAATCAAATAATGTAAACAATAGTGGAAATAATAATATGATCGATAATAAAGATGATAATATAACTGATAGTGAAGACAATAATATGATCAATAATGAAGATAACAATATGATCGATAATGAAGACAATAATATGATCAATGGTGAGGAAGATAGCATAACAAATAATGTAGACAATGACGAGTACGAAGGTAAGATCAATAACTCACATGATATTGATAATGAATTATATAATGGCAAAGATCTTTTCTCATAGCAATTCTATTTAATTAAGTTATAACTACATATTTTATTGTTAAATTAACATCTATGTATTTACTTTTTTTTTAAGAAGAAATATCTTACAACTTTTTCTTGTTGAGTGTTGGTTACACATTCAAAAACTGGAGTGATGTTGATTCTTTCTTCAAGGCCTATGGATGACATTTCAGGTTCTCTGTAATCAAAAAAAGAGTTGAGCAACGATGGCATAATAAAGCACCGATCTTTAGAATGTGAATTTGGGGAAAATATAAACTCAAAAAAAAGGTTGATATCAATACTCATCATAAATGGCAATCTAAATATAAAGGATATGGGTGGCACATAAATTTGAATTTCCTAATAATGCAACTTGTATTCAAGTTGCAACATTTGATAATGTCCATAATCACGAGCTTCATCCCAAGGTTTCTAAATATAGTACCAATTTTTGATCAATTGAAAAGAATGCATTGAACGATATATAGTTTTATACCAAAAAAGGCAATCTTTCGATTTCTGTACAATGTCAATTGTTAAAAGCCAAATACCAGGATATGACTTTTCTAGATATGGACCTCGCAAATGCTATTAGGTGTTTTAAACCCAAATCCTGAGATCTTGAAGCAGATGCATCAAACCTTTTTTCATTTCTTAATAAAAAACAGTCGGAAGAATCAGGTTGGAGTATCAAATTTGAATTAGATAATGACAACCGTCTTATACGGCTTTTTTGAATAACGTCTGGACAAGTATCCCTCTGGCTTAAATATCATGACGTAGTTCTTAATGACAATACTTTCAAGACAAATAGATACCAAATGCTTCTTAGTTTGTTCTTTGTTGTTGACAACAATACCAGGTCTCGATTGGCAGTGCAGACATTAGTATCTGATGAGTCAGCCGATTCTTATTGATGGATTTTCCAATATACAAAAAAGGTCACAGGAGTTGAGCCACTCATTTTTATTATGGACGCCAATCCAGCAATAGACATTACGATTAAACAAGTCTATGAAACTACCAAGTCATTACACTGTATTTACCATATTAGTCAGAATCTTCCAAAAAATCTTAAAGCGAAGTTAGGTAATGATATTAATTTTTTTTTCTCAATACAGCTTTTTTTTTTTTTTCAATCAAATTCAATAATTTAATTTGTTAAGTAATATGTATAGCCAGTTTATCAGTGATTTTTATTATTGTCGCAATACATTAGATAATATGTTATTTGAGGCCAGGTAGCAAAATCTGTTATAAAAATTTTCATTAGCTGAAAATTACTTGAATCGAGTTCTTTATCCTAGCCGTCATTTATAGGCAAGTGCCTTTATATCTAAAGTCTTTTTCACCAGAATTCAAACCACATCTCACATAGAAGATTATAATAATATTATAAAATGGGTATTAAATAGTAGTAGCAGTTTATGTGATTTGGGAAAGATTGGAAAAAGAGGCTGAATAGAATTACTTCTTTAAATATCAAACATTGTCCTCTTGCATTGGAATTTCCTCCATAGGAAGTGAGATATTTCCTACTATCGACTGTGTAATATCTGAATATTTAACACCTCATATTCTCTCTGCTTTACGCATTGAAATGGCACAATGTTTGTATTTTAATGCAGTATTGACTAACATAGAAATCATTAATTCGTATAATGAGGTTTGAATTTTATTAAAACATTACTCAAAGTATTATTATGTGATCACAGCACTTTAGAATATAGGTGCTGTCATAATTCAAAAAGGTTTTCTTATTTGAATTATGATGGTGTCTATATTTTGAAAGGTTAAATAAATGCATCTAATTTGAAATATTAAACTAAATTAAATTAAAGCAGTAATTTATATGTTATTATTATTATAGGATGAAAGTATAGACAACAAGTTTATAGAGGATGTTTATGATGCAAGACAAATTCTACTTAAGTCAATGATTACAGAAGTTGGCCAAGCTAATATGCAAGAAATTTGGCAGATTGTAGACAAATGGCCAGGAAATAATTGACGAAAGTATTTCATTATCGTTATTGATTTCATTTCTTATCTATACACTTATATGTATAATGTTGTTCATGGTATTATATGTTGGCATTATTTTCAAATACTTTTAATATTACAAGTGGCTGGGTTTTATATGAAGATAATTGCATCGCATTCATCAGCAAATTTTAAAAAATGCAATATTTTGAAAGATTTGCGATTGACACAAAATATTGCGCAAGAATTTAAAAATTTGCTCTAATCTCCAAAACTTACTAAGTAATTGTGCATAGTTGTACTAATAGGAGTTGTTCAGAAAGTTATTCCGGTCATAATGGTGGTTAAATTATCAAAATTGGTTAGATATTCGCCGAGATAGCTCAATCAAAAGTTTTTCGAAATATTTCGAATATTTCGCAATAATGCGAAATATTCGAAATATTTTGAAAAACTTTTGATTGAGCTATCTCGGTGAATATCTAACCAATTTTGATAATTTAACCACAATTATGACTGGAATAACTTTCTGAACAATTCCTATTAGCGCAACTATGTGCAATTACTTAGTAAGTTTTGGAGATTAGAGCAAATTTTTAAATTCTTGTGCAATATTTTGTGTCAATCGCAAATCTTTCAAAATATTGCATTTTTTAAAATTTGCTGATGTTGGTATTATAATCACAAAAAAGAAGTAGATGAACTATTAAATGTGATTTTTGCAAATGAGAATGCTATTTGAGTTCAACAAAATCAAACAATGCCAACAATTCCACAACCACTTTCTGTATCTTGTTCAATAAAGGCAATTAATTAGTACGTAGCAGCTCGCGGACGAAATTTGGTAAATTATAGGGCTTTGCAAGACAAGCAGTGCAGCATGCAGTCGAGTGCAATGATAATGAAATGGAACACTGGTTAAGGACATTTATTGATCAAAAAAAATCATTTCTGGCTGGCAATAAAGAAGATGACACAGAGAGTAATAAATTTGACGACAAAGAGAACAATTTATCAATCACTAATCCTCCAGTTACAAAACATAAAGAAAGATCTGAAACTAAAAGGTACAAGTCTGCTATCAAGAAAGCATACTACCAGCCATATGCATGTCATAAGTGTGACCAAAATGGTCACAATAGTGTGAGATGTGACAGAAAATAGGGTATACACAATATAGGATGGAATAAATAAGTGCATAATGTTAGCATTAAAAAATTAGATTTTTTTTAAAAAAAAAATTGAATATAATATAAACATTAGCGAAATTGGTAATTTCTAGATTTTATTGATTGCATAATCATATTGAATATTTGAATCTCTAGCTACGAGTATTCATATCCAGACTGAAAAAATAATAATCATGCAAATTTTAAGACAGGTTGTGCCTTTTATCTAAAGTCAAATAGCATTTTAATTTATAAATCAATCAGTAATCAAGCTAGTATCTATATCATTGTATATTTGACTTGAACTTTAGCATAATTGTCTGCAAATAAATAAACAAGGTATATAAATATTGAATTTTGTCTGTTTCAGTAAGTTTAGGTCTTCTGAACTTATTTTTTATTATATAATTATTATAATTGGCAGTAATTATACTTCATATCATGTAGCAAAAATAAAGATTTCATTTATAGATTAGGTATTTGAATTTTGTTATGTTAGTTTAATATTCTTTATATTCTCAATTCTTTAAATAGATTATGAACTGAACAAATTTGTATATGTAGACTGCCTAAATAATAAATTTGCCAGTAAATAAATAAGAAACGATACTGTTGACATTTTGTTATAATTAAAAGTTTCATCTCATAATGTTAAAACAAGAAAAGATGAAGTATATGAAATTTTAAATTTATATTCGTGTGTATATGTTGTATCTTGGATTAACGCTTGTGTCAGATATCGCTTTGGCCTAAGTTAGGGTTAGAGTTAGGGTCAGGATTAGCTATAGTTTAGGCTGTTCTGTTAATTCTGGTCAAATAAGCATTATGCTACTGATATTTGATGCAAGTATTAATCTGAGGCACAACATATGTGTATATATGAACATATTATTAATAGATTTGATTTCGATTTACTTACTTATGATAATATATGGAAATGCTAAACTTACTCTTTGTTGTAAAATGATTTTAAATGAATCTTTTCATAAGATATGGATAATTAAAACTATTATTAGATGTTAAAATGTTTTTATTAAAACAAAACTTTAAGACACTTTAAAATACAAGAGACTTACTAACAAGACATTGAAAGGAGACAAATTGTTTACTTTTTAGTAATTAATTTTTGCGCCTTTTATATTCAATTATTTATGTGTATAATCGAGATCTTGTCTGATTATGAGAGAACTATTAATAGGTCTCGTTAATCTATATATGTTTTGCATCTACTGGAAATAGTCAAATAACAAAGATAAAATTTATTTTTTTAAAAAAAATTTAGAAATTTTTAATATTTTTAGTATATATGCAACTATATTTTTTTTTTCTTATAATTTAAAAATAAATACTGCTATTTTGTAATCCTTATTTTCAAATATTAGTATATAAAATATTTTTTCAAAATTTTAAGATTTAATAAAATTAGATCAGATATAACTGTTTTTAAATTTTAGCGTTCATATTTGGCCGCTAAACCTGACGGTTTAAGGGATAACATGTGATGTACCATGTAACCTTATATGCATTACATAATAGATAAACATTAAATTAACATCCACATAGTCCCAAAATATTATAAATAGCCTTCCTTTTTTCCCTTCCTCAATTAAACTTTGTATAAGTTCTTATTTTTGATTGCTAATAATAAAATATTATTGTCTTCTTGAAAATTAGCATTTTCCTTAAGTTTTTGTTATCTTTTTTGTTATTTTTTGATATCTTTAGAGTGTATAAGATTTGGATTCCCAGAGTCTAATAGTGTTTGCTGTATTGCTTGAACTAAGTTTGGACTCCTTTGAATCTAATAAGGATA